ATTTGAACACTTACTTCACTCTGTCAAAATTAATACCCATTCTTTTACCACCATCTTGACCTGCATAAATCATCAAACAAAAAATAATGAGAGAGATAGAAAGATACGCTTCAAGTCCAAGCTACATTAGCTCCAAAGAGAACATGAACACTCAATTAAAAAGCTAATCCATTGAAGGTAGGGAGTGCAAATGAAATGGAATCCAAATTCGAGTAGAGATTAATCCCAGGTTAATTATCAGATGAATGATAAAGATTATGGATGGGATTCGTAATGTAGGGTTTACCAGGGAGAGGGTTATAGTAACCCAAGACTTCCAAATGCTTTCCGTCCCTCGGTGACCTGCTATCCGCCGCCATAACTCGGTAGAAAGGCTTGTTCTTGCATCCCAATCTCGACAGCCGCAGACGAACCACCATTCTCTGTCTGTGTAAAATGGATTCAGACGGACGCCGCCGTGAGGCAACCAGCCAAAGGTTAAGGATGGTTTTGGTGTGGGTTTCTTTATTTTTTTCTGGCAGAATAAAAATAGTAATTAATAACCGAAAAATGAGGAAAATATTTTCAATGTTTCTATCCGGCAAAAAATTTTGGTTAAAACTTTCCCATTTTTCTTTTGTTGGAACAGTAGAATTCACGGATGAAAAACACAAAGATAGATAACAATTAAACAGTTGAATTAATCAATTATTCCGTTGAATCTAGTTGGATGACTACCTCAGCATCTTTAATGGGTAAGGTTTATAAACCTTATTCTTTACATTCCCAATATTCCACATTATCTAAACCCCATTCTCACTCCTAATATCACAAATCTCCAATAACCATAAACCTTACAAACCTTCTTTTAATGGGGCTCCATGTTTCCCACTTACTTTAATCTATATATCAATTTAATTCATATTTACTAAAAACACTAATATTTTTTTAAAATGAAATATTTATTATATATCATAATAAATATATTTTACGTACAACTAAAATTAAATAATAATAATAATAAGTAAAATTTATTACACAAAAACCTTACAATAATATAAAATATAAAAAATTACACGCCGACAAAAAAAAATAATAATAAGAAAATTTGATTACACATAAACCTTACAATAATATAAATCTTGAAAATTACATGGTGATAAAAATTAAATTTTTCATACATGATCGATATATTACTCTTAATAATCAGGTTCATTCCATATATGTTCAACTAGGTCATGCCTAAGTTGATGATGAACCTGTATGTCTTGCACTTCAGCTCGTATTTGCAAGTAGCGACGAAAATTTGTTGGATGACCTTGATGTGTTTGGATAGGTGATTCACCATCTTCATTGGACCAATTGGTTGCCTCTTCACCCTCATCCTCAATTATCATATTATGTAAAATAATACACGATAGCATTATTTCACTCAGATCTTCTTTGTACCAAAAACGAGCTGGACCACGTACAATTGCCCATCTTGATTGGAGCACTCCGAAAGCACGTTCAACATCTTTTCTTGCAGCCTCTTGTCGCTGCTTAAACTTTTTCCTCTTTGGATCCTCTAGAAATTGAAAGCTTTTCACAAATATTGTCAATTCCGGATAAATACCATCTATTAAGTAGTAACCTTTTTATAATGAGTCCCATTTACTGTAAAATTTACTTCCGGTGCTACCCCATTTAAAAAAAATCGTTGAATAGTGGAGACTCGTGTAACACATTAATATCATTTCGTGATCCAGCGAGTCCAAAAAAGGCATACCAGATCCACAAGTCTTGTGAGGCTACAGCTTCAAGCATTATTGTGGGTACTCCATGATGCCCTCGAGTATATGAACCCTGCCAATCCACCGGACAATTTTTCTATTCCCAATGCATACAATCAAGACTCCCTAGCATACCTGGAAATCCATGTTTTCCCTCATGTAATACAAGTAGTTGTTGAATGTCAGCATCATTGGGTGAATGCAAGTATTGGGATGAAAATATTTGCCGCACACATCGACAAAACTCGATGAAACTTCTATTTGTCGTCTATTCTGACATGCGTAAGTACTCATCACACTGATCGGCGGGTGCTCCATATGCCAGTTGGTGTATAGCAGCGGTACACTTTTGAATAGGTGTAAAACCTTTTTTACCAATCGCATCTTCTCTGCTCTTGAAGTAATTAGAATGATTTTCAAGAATCAACAATACAAGAAAATACGACGAAAAAAACCCTCGTGATAGGTGGGCTCGTTAGAAAAATAATCTCTTACAAGTAGAGTGTGTCCAGCATCACGATCCCGGTGCACTACTCGCCTTTCTCGCCTTGTTGAATTTTCAGCTTGTTCGTCCTCTTGGAACTCATTAATCGCTGCCTCCATCAAGGCAAATTCAGCTTTTGCGAGAGAATCATCAAGCATATTTTTCAAGAACGCACGATATGCTACTCTCTCATTTGTATGTCTAGACATCTTATTGGAAATAATAAAGAGAAAAAAAGGGGACTTGAGGAAAAGAAGAGTAAAAGGAGAAGCAAAAATTTATATTGTTTGTTGAAGGTGGTGTCTAAATGAATCCACAAATGGTCCATTTTATAATGAGAAGATGAGTTGTTAAAGTTACATTTTGCAAGTGGCAGGTTATAACACGTGACCATGTCTTTCAAAAGTAATTATTTTGGTTGTGGGCATTTATTTTATTAAAATTACAATGAATGCAGCTGGATAGAACATGTTAGACAAAAATACAAAATGACAAGCATCAAAATTAAACACATTACAAATACATAAAATAAAATTACAGTACAAATTCTTCCAAACAAAATACGAGAAACATAAATAAAATACATTGTCAAATTTAATTAAGGCCCAATTCTTCTTTCAGTTCTGCAAGAAGCCCATAGTGAGCTTCTAATTCTTCTTCAGTCATAGTTGAAGTGTCTTCCTTTAGTATTTCTTTATAGGTCTTCCACGACTCTATGCCTACCAACTTCTTTATCTCCTTCTGTTGTTTTCATGCATACTCATAATTTGTCCAAACGCATCCAACATACGTTCTGCCTTTTGATCAGTGCTACTCCCTGTGCCACTTTTTCCCTTTCTCTTTGCAGCCTTCGCTGCCTTCTGGCCGATGGGGCGACGCACGTATCTTTCATCGTCATCACCAACATGCTCCACATCTTGTCCAGATCCAGAAGTGTGATCTCTAGACTCTGATGTTCTAGGTTTCTTTCCTGCACGAATTGCTCCACCAGTCCCTTGAAATTTTGGACAATTTTTCAGAATCTCCCAACAGTGAAGCCACTTGAAGCCTCCTTTTCTTTTTCCTTCACTATTCCACGCTGTTAATGCATTTTGTAGCACAATAGTATCATTTTCACCACTCCTTTGATCAGCTCGAAACCTGTTAATGGATGCATTAAATTTAAGGCAATCACCATGAAAAGCATAAAAGTGAGATTTCGCTGAATCCATAGATCTTTCAATCAAGTTTCTAGCATGAGCCGTTTCATTATAATATTGAGCGATTCGTTTCCAGAAGCCTTCAGAACTTTGTTGAGCACCAATGATAGGATCACTCGAGATAGTACAAAATGCTCGACAAAGCAACATATCTTCCTCTTGTGTCCACGATATTGCCGACGCTTTCCCTCGTCTTTTTGGCTCATGTTCTTCATTTTCTTTTGTCTCCATATTAAGACAAATATTGTCAAGACCTTCAACCTCTGGCCCCGTGGTAGCTCTTAGGGGATCTTGTGAGCCAGTAGGCCCATTACTCATAGCTGCTGGTATGAAATTGCCATGTTGAAAAGGCATGCCAAGTGAGTTTGGCATTCCATACTGGGATGCCATTGACCACATATACTGAGATTGATTCATGTTCATTGCATTTTGTTGTTGAGGGTAGGCATGGTGTTCTATAGTTTGGGATATAGGAAACGAAGGAATTGGCTGATATGGAAAATTTTGAAATTGGGATTGCAATTGCACGGCAGGAAATTGACCAAGTACAGGAGGTATACTCCTACGATAACGAGAATTTACTGAAGATGGACTATCGTCCTCGGAAGAATTAGGCATATTGAAATTAGGTAAATTTGAGTTTCTATCCATTACAACTTCTAGACTAAAATGGACATGTATGTTTTAAACTTACACAAAAACTACCCATAGTTTTATAGCCGGGTTTGCATACATATGGACATTGTAGATAAGTTTGCTATCAAATCAAGGACCTTATCCATCCCCTAAATCAAGCTGAAAATTCAGCTTTATTTTGTGACAAGTGACAACTCAAGGCATGCCAACATTTAGTTAAATTTTATATTATTTTTTTTTATTATTTTTTTATATATTTTTATAATTTAGTAAAATAAAAAATAAAGTTTTATTACATATAGAAATTATGTAATGATATAACATTAAAATTTGCAATAGTGAAAATTAAAATCTAGAAAATAAATTGACAAGAATTTATTAAAATTAATAACTAAACTAATTTATTAATTCTAAACATTTCAAATATATGAGTCAGTTTAACATAATGAAATATTTTATTTTATTATTAGTACTAACGTTTAAAATATTTTATTTTATTATTTATTAAAATTAATAGCTAAATCAATTATACATATGTTATTTAATTCTCAATATTTTATTGAACAAGATGGACAAAAAATATGGTATAGATGAAGTTTTAGTTTACAAAATTTGGTAAATAAATGAGTGATAGCTTTTAAATGTGGGCCCAATACTAGTCACACCTAATCATGCGCGTGTGTTACAATTAAATAGATTTTGGCTTTGAAAAGTATGTTTGTACTACACTTGCTCTCAATTGCTTCCATTTTTTCTTATTTTTTTATTTAATTCTATAGCTCTATGTTTGCAACACGGGGTTAAGAAATCAAACCTACACCCTCTCCTTTCTAATGGTAAAAGCTATCAGCGTGGTGTTTTCAAGCCTCATCAAACGCGCCCGTTAAAGTTGCTCTAACTAGGTATCTTAGAACCAACGAACTCCGTTGGGATGGAATCCACTTGAACTTCATCTGGGCTTTCCTTGCTTTTGGTGCGCTTCACGTGCGTGGGACTGCAGCCGTTTTTACCCCGTTTCTTACATTAATGTTTTTTTAGTAGTTAGCTACTCATCCCTTATTTTAATAAAAATATTTTTGTAGTAGCCAATATTTTAATGTAAATGTTTTTGTTGTTGTATGAAATTTAACAACTCAAATAAACAAAAGCAAGGTGTATTTAAAGGGGAATAAACGTATATTTTGTTGTATTGGTGACGATTTTTTATTGTACAGGAAGTCGGTTTTGTAAGTAACCGAGATGTTTTTTATAGTCCGCGTACAATGTGCGGAAAAAAGATCCTTATACAGTCATAAATTCCGCTATTTATAGTACGACAATTTTTGTCTTCGACCAGATCACATTTAATGTTGAGCAGCTTCAATAAAGCGGCGTGTAATGTAATGAGGGAACATCAATGATTATTCTTTGACTTGATGGTCCAATCAAAAGTGTACAGTGCCACCTGCTTTGGAATTCAGTCACCTCGGATCTCGGTTTGAATCGATAATCTTCAATAGGAATGTTTGCGTAGTCAACTTTTTTGTCTATAATGCGAAGTTGGTATTGGAGTTTGGTGATAAGTCGGGTATTGCTTC